TGGAACACACACTATTTATTCACTCATACACTTATTTATCTAACACACATACTCAGTCTACATTTCAATTTGCACATAATATACCTGTACATACAACTGTCTATTGTTATATACCTGTACATACAATTGTCGATTTGTATATTTTTATTCCTTATTTACTTGTTCTATTTTTTATTTATTTTTATTTTTTATTATCTGTGTTTTTTGTTCTGTCACTGTCATTCTGTTGCGCTGTGGAAGCTTCTGTCATGAAAACAAATTCCTCGTATGTGTAAACATACCTGGCAATAAAGTTCATTCTGATTCTGATTCTGATATAACATCTTAAAGACATCTTTTAAACATCTATTTGACATCTGATAGGAAATTGCAAATGAGCAAACATATGATCTTGCAGATGTAAATGCAGACATCAAATAGACGTCTCCGTGATGTAGGTGTGCTATCAGGGTTCATTTCCCCCCCAAAAATCTAACCAGTTGGAACTGAAATGAAATTCACTCCTCGGTCTCCATTCCCCCGCATCCTACCTGCCATTTCCTGCCATTATATCAACGTTCATATGAAGTTGACAGTTTACAAAATACTCACTGAATGGACTGTGTCTATCCCTGATAGGGGGCATTGCACTATTTACAACCATGCAAGTCAATTTCTATAATTTTGTGTTCCCATAAATGTCAAAAATCTTATGAAACTCTCCTTCAACAGTAGTCTCTACTGTGGGACTGAACACATATGTTCATTAAAAATCATTATCAAAAAATAGATCGAGATCAATTCGCAATCCTAAACACTGTAGGATTTCTGTATTCAAAAACAGAAACCATTTAATCTGTGAGCAGACACAAACGAACATTGAATCTCTGCATTCCACCGGAAAGACTAAAGGTTCTCCACCCCAGCCATCTGCGGTCGTAAAACTACATACAGGGTCAGCTCAGTGTCTCAGCAGTTCCTGTCCCCTTCGGCTTATCTTCTCAAGAGACTCAAAGAAAAGCACTAAGACCACAATAACCGACCTCTGCATCTGGACTCATTTAGGCAACAGAACGGCAGTGTTGCCTCATGACTGGCAACCAACAGAACAAAGAACCTGGTATCTGGAAATGTTCCAGCGACAGACACTCCTGGACCCCATGACTGTTTAATGCATAAATTGATAGTTCGATAAACAGAAAGCGACAGATTAATAGCTCCATGTCCGAGCGAGAAGAATGGCAGACCTCCACCCGTGACAGTGTCATGACCTCAGCACATCTTCCCTTTTTCTCCCTGCATTCCAAAAGGGGTGCATCCTTTTCCTACTTTCCAGAAAAAGCATTTCCCCACATGATAAATTGAAGCCTCATGTTAATGTATGCACGCTCCGCCTTGTAAGAAGTCAATTGGAAGATCGCGCCGTGGCACGGACTTGTGCCGCGGATCAAAAACCCAATGCAAGACAGACTCAAGGCGCTCGCTTGCTTCTTCGCCTTTCGCCATGTTAATAGCACTCCAACCTGTGCTCACATGCTTACCATCAAAGCGATCGGTCATCCAAAACTCAACCACTCCGTTGAAGCTTCGTAACTCTGCAGAACTCAAAGTCTTGCCAAATCTAACTCTCTCAGAAGAACTTCGAGGCTCCTCCGTAACCCGGCAACCAACCAATCACCACGGAGGGCTCTCCCAAAAGGACGCCATCCCGATGTCATCTCAGCAACGGAATTCCCTCAAGCAGCCAAACAAGGAAACGTCACCCAAATGCAAGTAAACGAACAAAATGTTCTATCTGCTGAACTGGTGCCGAGCTAATTTTAAGCAGTAAACATAAGCCAAGTCTCTGCTTTATGAATTTTCTCAGGTTGCAAGTAAAAGAACTGTAGCGAATATCTTGCTAAAACTTTGGGCTTTCCTCAGAACTCTGTTAATATCATTTCCCTGAACCTTTGCGTGTATGTGTGTGTGTGTATGTGTGTTTTAGCATAGTTTAATGTAATCTAGAATAGCCAATAAATTCTTGTTTCATTTATAAAGAATCATTGTCTTGTGTTGTAATTTTGAAGTTAAAACTCTGCCTAGATCCTTGTTACCTTGCTCAAAATTAATAAGATTACCATTTTGTTTATGTGTCGTTGGCCACGAAGTAATATGAACAGAATTGGTAATATACACGGACGTTAACGTCTCGCTGGACGACCCTTGATAAAGTGTAAACTATCAAATTTGAAATCAGTTCTAATCAGGTTGACTTCTAATCTTCGGATTCGAGTCCTCTCAAAACCTGAATTAATTAATAATAATTAATTCCCTAAGAAAAGTAATCTGACATTACAACACTTAAACTGACTTTTTTTTAAAAACATTGTTGCAAAGAAGTTTGAAAGATAACTCAATTTTATATTACAGTGATTTGCCAAAGACCACAATGGGCGGCTCAGAAAAGAGGAAAATTGCTGAAAAGACACAGAGACATTTTGAACTCTATTGGGGTTAGACGAGAAATCAATAAAACATGTCTCAGGACCTACTCATTGTCGAAATCATACTCTAGATTTAATAATGTCACATGGAATTGATGTTAATGGTGTTAAAATTATGCAGCCAAGGGATGATATCTCAGATCATTATCTAGTCTTGTGCAAACTTTATATAGCTAAAACTGTAAATTCTACTCCTTGTTACAAGTATGGTAGAACCATCGCTTCTACCACAAAAGACTGCTTTGTAAGTAATCTTCCTGATTTATCCCAATTCCTTAGCATATCCCAAATCTCAGAACAACTTGATGATGTAACAGAAACTATGGACTCTCTCTTTTTTAGCATTTTAGATACGGTTGCTCCT